GGTCAGTAACAACATGGTCCTTTATATTATCCATAAAAAAACATCAAATGGGAGGGGGGGCGGGGGGGTGTGTCTCTGATTTAAATGTTTTTAAATATTGTAAAGGCTAAAGATACACACACACACGTACACGTGTTCAGACCTCCTCCCAGTATGACTGTAGAAGGGCATGTAATAGCCTCTGAATTGTTGCCCCCATGGGGCTGCACTCAGACATGTACTAACTGCACTGTTTGAAGTGGAAATTAATGGTGCATTTTTGTTTTTATAATGTGATTTAATGATTCATTTGTTTATTGAAAGATTTGTTTTCTTCCACACGTTCCCACTCGTCCTCCTTCTGGTAGGAAACCTAGTGGGCCAATACAAACATTTAACTGCCCTCACCCACTCGCAGCGCTGCAGGCCTTTTTATTGCATTGTGATGGATGATCTCACAGTTTGGTGTTTTCCAACTTGGCACTAAATCCAAATTCCCCCCCTCCCTGTTTGAGTGCTTTGGAGGGAGGTGTCCTGAATTCACCAGGGTGATGTGTGAGGCGTAGTGTGTGTGTGTGTGTGTGTGTGTGAAGGATCATTTGATTGTCTGTAAATGAAGCTTTGCCTTTCAGCTAATAATTTAGCCACATTCCATGTCGTTAAAGAACAGACGACAGAGGCATTCTGGGAGAAATGAGCCTGTGGTTTTTTTCCCACCAGGCTCACGGTGTCAGGTGATGACAACATTGTTGAAGTGATTCAAAGAAAATGACCGATCATTGACATCATCGGTTGAAAGTCACACCACAGATCAGCTGATGTCATCAAGTCCCTCTTTAGACCACAGGGGGCGCAAACACATGCTTGTGCTCTTGGTCTTTATCAGAGGAAAGTTTATTATTTATTTTTCAGACTTTTCTTCTAAATCAAAGGTGATGTTTTTGACTAGATCATCCTTCACCTGTGGTTAGGTTTGACTGTGGCTTCTTACCTGAAGGCTGCCGGTTCAATTTCCTGCCCCGTAGCGTTTTGATTTGCTGAGTGGGCACCACAAACTCCCTCACCTGCCAGGTGTAAGGGGGGTACGGCTCAGCAGCTGGCAGTGTGACTGGTGGGGTCAAAGGTGGAGACCTTCAGGTGTGTAGCAGTGGAAGTGTCAAATCATGACAAAAAAATGAGGATTTGTTTTTTCTTTGATTTAAAAAAAACAAACAAACTTTTTTAGCTTTAGACAACACAGAGGTCAGGAGGTCAGGGAGTGTCTGTTGCCGGGCAGACTAGTGTTCTGTAGGTGACATGGTCACATGCACAGTCACAATCTGACCTTGGCTTCTGTTAGAACCTAGGGTTCTGACCCAGCCCAGCAGGGGAGAACAAAGAGAAAGTAAAGTTGTTGCCATGATATAAACACTGACTCAAATGTTGGAGTATGTAGATGTGTGTGTGTGTGTGTGTGTGTGTGTGTGTGTCTGTGTGTGTGTGTTTCTGTAGGCATGTGTGTGACAGCAGCAGAAAGTGCCTGAGGTGACGGGTTCTGAAAGGCACTTTAGAAATTAAAGCAGTGCCACTGTTCTGTAATGGGGCTGTAATGATCCAGAAAACACAAGATATATGGAGCATTTAATGAAACACACTTCTTAATTCTGTTCTCAGCTGCAGACCAGCCCCGTGTTTCACACACACACACACACACACACAGAGATGCAGTGATCCTATATATTCTGTTTTTTATCTACTTTTTTATTGACATTCAGCAACATATGTAACATAAACATCCATGCCATCATCAACATGAGTGTCTTTTTAAAATAAAATAAGAAAAACACAACAAAAACATTGACACACAGGGAGTCACTACACACTGGACGTTATCTAAAGTAAATAAAGTAAACAGTCCAACTCTGGTGGTCTTCTTCTTCTTCTTGCTCCTCTTCTTCTTCTTCTCCTCCTCCTCCTTCTCCTCCTTCTCTTTCTTCTCACTCTTCTTCCTCTCCTTCTTCTTCTTCTTCTTGCTCCTCTTCTTCTTCTTCTTGCTCCTCTTCTTCTTCTTCTCCTTCTTCTTCTTTTCTTTCTTCTTCTTCCTCTTCCTCTTCTTCCTCTTCCTCTTCTTCCTCTTCTGCTGCTGCTGCTGCGGAGGTTGGTGTAGTTAGTTAGCAGAGTGGACTTTCCTCCTCCCATGGTCCAGTGTAAAGAGCAGTGGCCCTTCCTGCCTAAGACTTTTTTTTCTGGAGACGTTCACATCTGGTTCTGTCAGACGTTCTTGTCTGGTTCTGGAGACGCTCTGGAGACATAAATAATGGACAGAAGGGGACGACAACACAACATTACACAATAAAGTATTCATCATTTTCACATTGTCTGTGAAGAAAAGTGGGGGCTGAGGGGGTGGGGGAGCACAGCGGCAGCAAAAGAGGAGGCAGAGCAGAGGAGTAA